GGATGGGGGAAACTGGGTGGACAGAAAACCCCAGTGTATGAGACCCCCTCCCCAGCCATAAAGGACCCCAGGCAATGCTGGGCAAGTCTTCTAGCTGTCCTACAGAGAGTTCTATTTGTCTATGTAAACAGCACCATTGACGTCATATTTGAGCATTAATGAATTTATCTTCAGTGCTCCGCAGGAAGGCAAGTGTTACAATCCCAGTTTTACACATGGGGAACAAAGAAATGGAGAGTGACTGAAGTGATTTCCCCAAGCTTACACAGGAAGTTTGTCACTCAGTCCAGGACTAGAAACCTGATTTCTGGAATCAAAGTTCAGTGCCTTTACCACCAGCCCAAATTTCTATCTCCAAGACTCTTCATTTTGTACTTTTCCCCCCAGGAACTAAACTCACTTAAAAGAAACTCAGACATCTGGAATCAAATATTAAGGCCATTCACCACAATATTTTCATTTAGAGATGTCTCTTTGGCAGCGACTGTCCCCTTTAAATTGGCTGCCTTGCTTTCAAGATGCCATTTAAAACATCAAAGGAGCAGCGAGGAATCTAGAAGGGCCATTTTAAAACAGCTTCTCCACCCCGGCTGCTGTCACTCAGCACTTGAGTGCATTTAGGCATTTCGTCTGAGCCGTGCAATTAGGACTCTACGCTTTCCCCCACATGATTTACCCCTCCCGTTCCACCTGCACTTCATCACTTCAAAGAGGTAAGCTACTTGGGGATGAATTCTAGCCATTGTTTCTGAGTGGCAACCCATCTGAACAGGGGAAGGTGTCTCTGTATGCAACAGAGGTTTTTAATTTGTGTCCTAATTACACCAGCTACTATTTAAGACTGTATAGCAAAAAAAGATACAAGTAACACCCCCCCAAAACAGCCCCTTAGGGTACGTCTAGACTACACGCTTCTCTCGAAAGAGATCGTCTAGACAGCCACAACTTTTTCGAAAAAGTGATTCTCTTTTCCGAAAGAGCCCTGTTTGCGGTCAAGAACGCCTTTTTTCAAAAGAGCGCTTTTGAAAAAAGGCGTTCTTCCTCGTAAAATGAGGTTTACTGTGGTCGAAAACCCCGCCACGTTCTTTTGATTGAATTTCAAAAGAGCATGGCGGCAGTCTAGATGCAGGTGAAGTTTTTTCGATAAAGGCCACTTTTTTCTGAAAAAAAACCCCCAGTAGTCTAGACATAGCCTTACTGTATGAGCTGATTAAACCCACCCTCGTTAAAATGTACAGGGCACCCAACAACTTTGTATGTCCCTAGCGATGTTTTACTGTGCCTGGAGTTTTCTTCTGATCGGTAACTTTTCTTATGCAGAGAATGGAGACGTGCACAATAGCGCTGCAATTAAGTGGTGGGTTCACCACATACCGACTGTACTTTCAGCTGGAAAAATGAATGTAATCAGAGCAGCTGGAACAGGCAGCAGCTGGTTTTCTGATGCTCTCTCTGAAACCTATCAAGCAAATTTAATTCATGTAAATGGCACTGGATTGTTAGCCTAGCGTACTAAAGTCCTCTGCCCAAAGAAGAGCCACAGCATGAGCGGCATGTACGTTCCCCCACATTGCCTGGCCACTCTACCTAAGTCCTCAGTCGGAGGAAATGCCTCCAGGTATGGAATGATCCCAGCTTCGTGTTAATCCAGTCTCCTCTCCTGCCCATTATCCATGTTCCTTGAATCCTTGGCTCTCTTCCGAAGCAAGGGGGCAAATTAATCTGACTAGTGAAGGGGGTTTGTGATGCTGGCAACCAGGCTAATAGGACTCACTCAGATGGCAAACTGAATTCAGGCTGGTCACAACATTTCACGAGGAGTAACGGTAGTACGAATTAGGATCTTTAATTTGAACTACCTAGTCCGTGCCGCGTGTAGCTGCGGGCACAGAGTTCGGACTAAGGGAGATTTAAAAATGGCAGCGCCTGATATTTAAATCCCGGTCTTCATTTGCAACTCCGCTTTCCCTCATTTCCCTTCCTAGCTTGAACTAATGAGCTAGTGTAGACATACCCTGAAATATTATTTAAATAAAGCTCTCACCAGCACCCTCCCACATTAAACTCAGACAAACTCTGCCACCCTGACTAACCCCCATCGTTCCATCTAACCCCCTCAGGGCCCTCCAAAAAGCCTGAGTTCATATCTGCTGGGTGTGTGGTATCCCTGTAAATAAAGCAAAAGCAATTGCTGAGGGAATAACAGAGCAGAGAGAATTTGCTTGCTGGAACTAGGAAATTATGTCTCCAGCTGTCTAGCTTTATCTCCTTCTGGGGCTGTGCACCATAAATTCAGTGAAACTTAGTTATACGTTGTCTAACTCGGGATCGTCACTCACTTTGGCAGGCGGACTCAAGCTTCAACAGAAATGTATATTCCATCCACCCCCTATTTCAACATGGGAAATTTATTGCTACAAGCAGCGTTGATCTTCACCAATCGTTAGTGTATTATAATTATAAAGTTTCTTTCATCTCAAAGGGACCAAAGCGCTTATCCTGTTGGAACCAAATCTTCTCCTCATTTGCATCTATGCAATAATTTCAGTGGAGTTTCATGGGCATAAATATGGGCCGAATTTTGGCTCTTCCTATTTTACATTCAGGCTTCAGGAATTATTTCAACTATGCTAGAATGAAACCTCCTAAGGCAGAACATGGATGCAGCTCATGCTACAACAAGAATTGAAGAGTCGAGCGATGAACACACCGTGTGATTCAGACCCCAAAGGACATTTAGGGAGATAGAACGTATGTATTTTGAATGGAGATGAGGCCACAGTGTTAGCAGGACACTGGTTTTCTGGTTTAATTTGCATTCCCAATATTTCCTTTAGCTTCAGTTCTGACGTTGTGAGGCGAATCATTTAGAAAACCTAAGGGCTTGTCTACATGTGAATGCTACTGAGGCAGGTAGATAGACTCTACCTTTTCTGACAAAAAAGGCTCTCCTGCCAATGAAGGATATCCACCTCCACTCTCACCTAGATTTGTCTACGCAGGGACTTGGGTCGGCTTAATGGTGTTGCTCAGGGACGTGGATTTTGCACACCCTTGTAGCTAGGTCTAGTGTAGACCAGTCCCAAGACACTATTTCCTGTAGGTGATGATAATATATACTGTGCCATATGAGTGTGGGGAGGATTAATTCTTTTATGTTTGTAAGCCACACTGAAATTCCTGACTGGAAAGTGCTTATGAAGAGCCACATACCCCACATATTCCCTGAATGGGTTAATGTGGACCTGAGAAACCAGGAATGACCCCTGGCTGCATCTGGAGGGGAAGCCATGCTTGACTGATTATGAAGCTCAAGCAAGCAGGAGGTTTATAGCAGAAGGGGGCTGAAGGGAGGGAGTCTGGCAGTCACCCTATAGAAACAGAAAGATGGTGAGGAGGAAATTCAGGATGGAGAGTAAGCATAGGGCTCCTGGCCATGAATGAAGCATAAACCCAGAGAAGTAGCAGGGAAGAAAGCCTGAGAGAGACTAAGTTGGGAGATATTCAGGGAAACAGCAGGAAGCCGGTGAAGTCCCTGGGGTGAACCCAGTGTATAAAGGGCCTATGTCTCTCTATCGGCCAGTGGCCCAGAGACAAGGTCCGGACACAAGGTCTTGTAATTAATTGGTGGACTTTTGTTTGTGGAATTTTGTTACCCCAAAAGAAGCAGACATTCATTATAGACTCACAGAATCATAGAATACTAGAACTGGAGGGGACCATCGAGTCCAGTCTCCTGCCCTCATGGCAGGACCAAGCACTATTGTGGCCTGGTAGCGGCCAAGGCTTTGTCTACACTACACGGTGTATTGACACTGCAGTGATCAATCCACTGGTGTTGATTTGTCGCACCAGCTTAGATACGATAAATTAATCTCAGAGTGCTCTCCCGTCGACTCTGGTAGGACACCAGGATGAGAAGAGTAGCTGGAGTTGACAGGAGAGCAGCTTCTCCTGATCTTACCACATGGAAGACCCTGCGGTAAGTATGTCGACTGGAATTGTGTAGGGTAGATTGACAGGGGGAGAGTTAGTGTAGACAAGGCCCAAGTTAAACAGAGAGCAAAGGAGAGACTGTCAGCAGGGGGTGCCAGAGTGAAAGCCAGCCATTAGGAGACACCAGGCCACAAGATGTCCCTGTGACGAATGAACCCCCGTACAGTGCTACAGAACTATAAAACTTTCCATTACATTGAGATTTAAATTGGTCTACCAATCTGAACAAGCACAGCCTGTCAAGACATCTGATTTTAAAATATTCATTGGGCCCAAATTTAGTGATTTTTGGCACTTTGGTTTTTCAGAATTGTGGGAAGATCAGGCCCCTTGAAGGGGGTCTCAAGTTGATCCAAAAATTGAGGTAACTCAAAACATTAGACACTTTTGAAATGTTAGGGCTTGCATCTGTAGCCAGGACATGATCTGCACTAACATAAGCAGACTCCAAAAGGGATTCAATTCACTTATTTTCTTCCTTTGACAAAAACCATTTGGTTTATAATGTGCTAAGCAGGCAGGAGCAAAAAGAACTCTCTGTTGTTCTGGAGCAAGGAAGCTACCACTAGTTGTTTTGAGTGCCAAGAAATGCATCCACATTGTGTACCATTATCTGAGGACCTACACTGAACAGCTTTGCACATGATTAAGGTGACTATCCTGGCAAGAATAGTTTTAACTAATAGTTAAAAAGAAGAGAACACAATTAAGGGCCCAATTTGGAGCCAACCCTTACACCCATTCTCCACGTTTGGGGGCACAACCTTGTTTCCCTTAAAACGCCCTCGTCACAATTAATGCCCATGATGCAAATATTACCAAACTTGACATCCACCAGTAAAAACCTGATTTGGAGCTGCAGACCTTGCCGGTGTGCAAATGGACTCATAATTACGGTGCATGCAGACACAGAGGCCTTCTAGGAAAAACAAGCACTAAAGGTTTGTGTTTGTAAGAGAAAATGTCACGTCACTAGTAAAGAAGGTCACAAGGACTTTTCTTACCTTCTGATCTTGACTGTAGGCCAGAATCCAGTCCTCCTGCTTGGGGTGGAATAGCAGGCTTTGGATGTAGAAGTTCAGCCGGTATTTTTGATAGGTGGCCCCTTCATCGGAGCTGATGAGTAAACTGCTCTCAATTTCTGGATCAGTCAGCAACATAATCTATATGGATGAAATAGTCACAATTGAAAGGAGTCAAACGGAAAGATGAGGAAGCAGCCAAGATTTACAGGAAAACGGGGAACCTGATGTTTTTTAGAGGCAGACAGTATAAAAATCAGACTATACAACTCGAGTGTAGCAAACATGTTAGAACAAAGCAAGGATGACCAATCTTCCTGGAAGCAAAGCCATACATGATAACTGTCTGTGTGCATGTATCTGAAGTATGTAGCAATCAGACAGACAGTCGGGTAAATTAAAATGAGCAGGGTTAATTATAACAGGTTAAATGTTCAACCTAATCACCCCTTTGTAACCATCAACAAGCTCTGAATCCAGGATAGCCAACACCAAAGCACATTTTGCTAAGGTTAACATCAATACAAGGAAACCTTCCTCATTCATGGTAGATACGTTCCTGGCACCACCATGAATGGAAAAATTAGCAAATACTGGGAATCACGACTTGGCTCCCGAACTCACCATGGCTCCGGACAGCTGTGGTGAGTTCCCCATGGCTTCCAGCTCCCGCCACCCCCTCAGGCTGGGATAGGAGAACTTCACAAATATGCAGAAACATGAATAGAAATTCAGCAAATCACAAAGGTCTCCTGTTTTCCTTTTTGAGTTGCAATCATCAGGGTAAGTGGACAATATACAGTAAAGCAAGCATGTTATATAAGCAGAGGAAATGAAAGAAAGAAAGAAAGAAAGAAAGAAAGAAAGAAAGAAAGAAAGAAAGAAAGAAAGAAAGAAAGAAAGAAAGAAAGAAAGAAAGAAAGAAAGAAAGAAAGAAAGAAAGAAAGAAAGAAAGAAAGAAAGAAAGAAAGAAAGAAAGAAAGATAAATTCCCAGTGGTGGAATCTGTTAGATTGCAGAACAGTCTGCAGATAGAAGGTGGAGGAAAATGTAATTGCTAGAGATTTTATAACCTGCTTTGCAGGGAGCATACTTGCTTTGGGAGGGGGACATTGATAACCCACTAGGTTTGTCCCAACTCTAATTTCCATTATGCTATGAATTATGGTTTCAGTAATGTACCAGAAACAGAACCTGCTCTGTGAAGTTGCTCCTTCAGCTTAGTCTAAGGGTGTTACAGCGTGCATGGCTTGTAGTTCCATGGCCATTCACCACCAATTAACTTACTAATTGGTCTGTATGGCGGATGAATCAGAGAGAAGTAGGAGAGTCTGCCCTCCTGCCTCTGTGGGCAGGAAACAGGTTTGAGAGCCACAAAGAGGACGACTACAGACTTACAGCAAGAGAAAAACAATGTCACCCGGAATAGAGAACAAGTCAGCACAACTGGCAAACACACAAGGCTTTGAAAGACCTTTTCCTGCGACAAGATTAAAGCTCTGTATCATTAGTGTCATTTTAAAAATGCATAGTTTACAATCTCTGAAAATGCCAGGCACCAATGAGCTCCTAAACAAGCCCAAACTGAAAGGGACAGCTTCTAGCATTTCACAGTGGGAGTCTTACTTTGTGTTCATGCATTTCAGAATATTTTTCCTGTTCCCACTGACCATTCAGGAATAGAGGGGTGAGCAAAGTCCGAAAACAGAAGGGGTGGAAGACAGCATATAACAAACTGATCAATAATTCTAATTCAGGAGGCCCCATAAAGATCTTGAATAGTGCAGTAGATATAGATATTGTTATGTATATCTCTGTATATATACAGATGCAATATACATAGATGTTCTGTATATCTAGATGGCGGGCAGATAATCTTCTAAATATCTAAAACCACATGGCAGTGTTTTCTACTGGAGAGTGAACTGAACTGAGATTCAGGAGAACTGAATTCTACACCCAGCTCTGCTATTAATCTGATTGTAACCTTGGTGAAATCACATTAGCTCCTTGTTTCAGTGCCCCCATTGTAAAATGGGGGGAAATTATAGTTCCTTTTGTAAAGTGCCCTGGGATCTACTGATGGAAAGGGCTAGATAAGGACTAAATATTATAATATTCATTAGAAACAATCATGTTCATTATCCTATGGTGGTGACTTCATCTTGGCTGGCATATAAAAAACAAATTATTATTACAATCGAAATTCACAGTCCATCCGCTATCAATGAGCCAAGCAAAACAGTTTGAGTGTCACCCCAAAGCACCCAGATGCATACTATTCTCTGCCTCGTTCTCCAAACATGATTTCTGTGATATTGCCACTACAGACGAGTAGATCAACAGGCAAGATGAATTTTCTAGTCTTGTGTGACCATGCACTTAAAAAGAAATGCTGTTGATGTGGGTACGTGAAAAGATCGTACAGCAGAACACTAACCGCACTGGAGCAACTAGAGCAGAAATAAATGCAAATCAATGGCGTATTCCAGAGCTCACTGAAGTTAATGAGTTTTTCCATCAGCCTCAATGGGTTTTGGATTACGACTCTAAGGAACACGGCTAGCCGAGATCAGTTCCAGTCTCACAGCTTTTTATCTTAGGTACTCACATGACCCCATTTCCACAAACTTTGATGTATTTATCTTCACAACATCTCCATGAGATAGAGTATTGCTATTATCCCAGTCTACAGATGGGAAACTGAGTCGCAGAGAAGCTAAGTAATTTAGTCAGTATCGTACAGGGAAATCTGCGGTGGAGGAGAGAGAGGAACACAGGTCTCCTAAAGCTAGCACCCTAGCCACCAAACAAATTAACCCTAGACTTACATTATCCATAGACTCATAGACTTTAAGGTCGGAAGGGACCATTATGATCATCTATTCTCATCTATTCTCTATAATGATCTGTGATCATTCATTATGATCATTATTCTCTTTCCTTGATTTATCTTGCACTAGCCTTGGTTTCTATTTCATCACCTACTGTACAGGACCTCATTTCAAGAGGATAAAATAAGTTAGAACTCCCTAAGGTGACATCTTCCACAGTCACCATGCACCGGGGAGTCAGAACCCCAGGCTGCTTACCTGAAAACTTAAAAGCAAACTTAGTTACAAAACATTTGCATTTAAATAGACAGAGCTAGGAGCCCAGGGACAGCATGAGAACCAGAAAGAAATGAAACTGACTGGAAACCAGGAGGGAGAAGATGTGGTGAAGGGGCGGAAAAGGCAGACTATTCTAGTTTCATTGTCCGAGCTGACAAAAATGTGCATGGTGAATAAATGTAGGCAAGTCCTCTTGATTTTTTAAATTCTTCTTGTCTGGATGACCTCAGGTGTCTTTAGTGACATGAATCAGACTTTTCTTTGCTGTACAGAAAGCACAATATGACCCCATTTACCAGAGAGTAGGCATTATGCAAGCATCCAAACTGGAAAGGATTAAACACAAAACAGAACAAAAAAACAACCCACCAACAATAATAATACAAGTCACAATTGAAATGGAGTGTAATAGCAAATGGTCCGGAGACTATAGCTTGCTTTCTTACATCATGGTCTGAGGTAAATAGGATGAAATTTAATAAAGGCAAATGCAAAGTGTTCCACTTAGGAAGGAACAATCAGTTTCATACATACAGAATGGGAAGCGACTGTCTGGGAAGGAGTACGGCAGAAAGGGATCTAGGGGTTATAGTGGACCACAAGTTGAATATGAGTCAGCAGTGTGATGCCGTTGAAAAGAAAGCAAACATGATTCTGGGATGCACTAACAGGGGTGTTGTGAGCAAGACATGAGAAGTCATTCTTCCGCTCTACTCTGCGCTGGTTAGGCCTCAGTTGGAGTATTGTGTCCAGTTCTGGGCACCGCATTTCAAGAAAAATGTAGAGAAATTGGAGAGGGTCCAGAGAAGAGCAACGAGAATGATTAAAGGTCTAGAGAACATGACCTATGAGGGAAGACTGAAGGAACTGGATTTGTTTAGTTTCAAAAAGAGAAGATCGAGGGGGGACATGATAGCAGTTTTCAGATATCTAAAAGGGTGTCATAAGGAGGAGGGAGAAAACTTGCTCATCTTGGCCTCTGGGGATAGAACAAGAAGCAATGGGCTTAAACTGAAGCAAGGGAGATTTAGATTGGACATTAGGAAAAAGTTCCTAATTGTCAGGGTAGTCAAACACTGGAATAAATTGCCCAGGGAGGTTGTGGAATCTCCATTTCTGGAGATATTTAAGAGTAGGTTAGATAAATGTCTATCAGGGATGGTCTAGACAGTATTTGATCCTGCCATGAGGGCAGGGGATTGGACTCGATGAACTCTCAAGGTCCCTTCCAGTCCTAGTATTCTATGATTCTATGATTGTTTTATGCTTTTGTGATGTCTTTCCACACTTGGAGCGAGCTATGGGAGTGAGGCATTCATGGGTAATCAGTAACATGCTTTTCATAGGTATATGCTATGAATGCCATGTAAAAAACAAACAGATTCCAGACAGTTGCATGAACATGCCCATGCATGTGCGCGCGCACATCCATCCATCCATCCATCCATGTGGAATCCCCATCTCTGGAGATATTTAAGAGTAGGTTAGATAAATGTCTATCAGGGATGGTCTAGACAGTATTTGGTCCTGCCATGAGGGCAGGGGACTGGACTCGATGACCTCTCAAGGTCCCTTCCAGCCCTAGTATTCTATGATCATCTTTTGACCAACCTGGCACTGGTCCCTTTTTTAGAAAGGATCCTGGAGTATTTAGATTATAAAATCCTCCAAGCAGGGACTGTCTGTGTGTTAGGGGTTTGCACTGCACTTTGCAGAGTGTGGATGTGGGCAGTAACAACGATCAGAATGGAATATGTGGTCCGACCCAGTGGGGTGGACTAATTTCATCTGAGGTGATGAATTTTGCCCTTGTATTTAGCTTCAAAATTTCCTTTTCCATAATCTACTATCCCATCTTTCCCATCAAGTCGAGCTAAAAATCAGGAGGGCGGGGAAGAACTGGAATGGGTTACCTGGGGAGGTGGTGGAATCTCCATCCCTAGAGGTTTTTAAGTCTCGGCTTCCCAGAGCCCTGGCTGGGTTGATTTAGTTGGGATTGGTCCTGCCTTGGGCAGGGGGTTGAACTTGA